CAGCACGTTTTTTATTTCCACCAATGGAAACATTTTTTTGTCGAAGAAAAAGATGCATTACTGGTATTATGCACTTGAGACATGGTTGGCTCCTCAATTGGTGAGGTTAACGTATTATTTGTCGTATTTTGAACTACAGTAATATTCATAGCAGTTTTTTTATTAACACGACGTTTTTTCTGAGTCGGTGTTGTTTGATGGGAGGGAGGCGGTGTGGGTTGAGTGGAGTTCAGTTCATCGACAGCACTAGCGTCGTCTGATTTAACCGGTGATAAATGCTCGCCAAGCTTCTTTGTAGAAATGCCATAAATGTCATTCGGAGATGGATGTTTAAGCGATTCTTGACCGTTTAACCCATTTTTATCATTTTTGTGACCATTTTGAACAGTTCTTGGAGATCGAGATTGAAATACTAATTCATTCTGAGCATGTTTTTGGATATCTCGACATAAAACTTCTTGATGATGATGATCTTGGTCATCATCAGTTACCAAACTTGGAGTAGGGGAGTGGATTGATACAACTGTCGGTGTAGTCATCAAAGGATTTTTTCTGACATTTGACGTATGAGGAGAGTAAGAAGAAACGATGGGACTCGGCGCAGGAATTGTAGTAGCGGTCGGGTTATTAACGATTAAAATCGGATTATTAGGTGCTAAGCTGTCAAAGTGCGCAGCGTTGACATAGTAATCGTCTTTTTTTTGCGTTTCATGGCAAACCATCGTTTCAGATTGTGAAAGTTTTTGAACACTGTCATCAAATATATTAAGATCTTGACCGAATGTACCAAACGACGGCGTCATTGCAAAATCACTACACACGTTAAGGAAACGTGAGGGTGGCGCGGCCATGTCTAAATATATATCAAATATTAGTATTAATATATAAACGAAGATAGAAAAAGCTCACGTTGATTTTCTAAAACCTACCATCAAAATCTCCTGCAGGAGCATGGTATACTGACCACGAAGAAATAACTGGTGTATTCATAACGAGGTTAAAATGTCAAAGAGTTACAAAAATAAATTCCTTTTAATAAGGTACGCGTTAAAAAAAAAAAAGGAAAAAAATCACTGGAAAGAAAGCAGGATACGAAAAAATGAGCTATTTATGCGTTTTTTTTTTTGTGTCGAAAGGCAGTTACGCAGTGAAGAGGTTTTAACAATTTTACAGTGATCCAATATATTTTTTCAGTATATATATTTCACAAAAAGTAAACAGGAATTTTAATTTTAATTCAGAAAAAAAAAAAATATTGACAGAGATAGTTTGAGTATGTACCACATGATAGATCATCATGATGTAATTTTATGCTGTTTTGGTCACTCGATCAAACCCGATCCGGCGTTGGGGCTTTCTCATTATGTGGTTCGGGTACAGTATTTATTTATTTATTTATTTATTATTTATTTATTTTATTTATTATTCTTATTCATGTTACTGTAGCATTTCAGCAAATATAAAAAAAAAATTGTTGGTAGAATTCCATATATTGAGATTAGAGTTGTTTGATACGCCATGTAACAATATGAAAAATAAAGTTTTATTAGAGAAAGAGACCACTATAGTTTAAATTATCCCTTCACTATTCTTTCTGGGTTACAGTTTATCGCCATCCTTTGGAATTTCGATCATTCATTTCCCATTTTATTGAATAACCGATAATCTCCGCAAATGGAAATCTTTTAAATCTTTTTAAATCTGAAAAATAATGCTTAGTCCCACCTTTATTATGTGACACACGAATCGGATGCGCATACAAATCATAGTAGTCTTCACAGGTTCATGGGAGAATAGTAACGTGAAACATGAAGATTTAGCATTTATACTCTCGGTATGAAACAAATATACATATTTATTATGTTCCCACTTATATGTTGTAATCTTTTTTCTTTCACATGTTTGCGATTTTCTGTCACTGTGTTCATCTGTCATCAATCTTTATGCCTATTTGATTATGTTGCCTAAAAAGGTTGGTCGCTTTTAATTGATTCTAATTTGGGTGTTGTAACGTGGCTAAGACCGTAATCCTCTATTTTAATACCCGGAACCTAATTATATAATTTCTTTTCATTATGTCAAAATGCATAAGGATACATATCCGGAAATTTAGCATTGTAACAATTTGACATTTTTATGACATATTTATATACCGTATTTAGTATTGCTGATTTCTATTAATAATTAATTGATTTGACTTAATTGTATAGGTTTGTATTTTGTTTTTTTTTGGCAAATAATTATTTTTTTATATGTGCAAATATTATAATTTTTTTTTAGTTATTTATATATTACCGGATATGCATATTTATATATATGTTTATTATTGTTAAAATTTAAAGTTAGAATTTTAATATAGTTATAGATTTAAATTTTAAATTATACAAGATTTTTAAAAATTTTAAAGTTTTATTTAGTACAAAAATCATTTAAAATCCAAATAGCAAAAATTTTAATATCAAAAAATTTATAAAATTTAAAAAAAACTAGTTATATATAATTAAAAAAAAGTATTTGCTAATCTTAACAGACTATGAAATTCATAGCTCTGTATATAACCAATCAAAATTGCAGAATTAGCGCGATTTGCAATTTTTTTGTGTAACAAAAATAAAGTTTTTTTATGAAAAATTTAAAAAAAATTATTTATAACACAAAATCTAGCTTATAAAACTACCTTTGATATTATAAATAAAAAATTTTTTGTTAAATTTTATTATAAAATTTGTTATTTATTATTTTTTATTTTTTTTTGTTTTAGCAATTCTTTTTTTATTATTTAAATTAGCATAGAATTATATATATAGAGGCTAGTCTACCTATAAATCTATATATGTCTGTACTAATAAAGAATTACTTAAAATCTATTAAACAAGAATCTATAAATAGATTTTACAAAGAAACCCAGATATGACTTGCCTAAATAGTTTATGTTTATCTTATCTGAGATTCTCAACTTATTGAGAATTTATACTTTAAGAGTCTATAGTAGATATCTACTGACCTTATTAGAATTACTGCTCTATATAATATATCACTAATCTGAAAAAAAATTCTCTAACAAAAAAATTTTGAAGAGCAAATAGAATAAGAAGAATTATAAGAAGAGGGATATTTTAAAACAAAATAAATAAGAAAATAACTAAACTAATAAAAAGAATCTAAAATACTAATTATAAAACTAAAGATTCTATTAAATAAATTAGTATCTGTTAACCAGAATACTTATTTATATGATTGTACTAATTATATAGAACTTAACTAATATATATAAAAAACTAAACTAAATATACTTTAAACTGTATTAAGAAATAAAAATTATATACATATAACTTTTGTTGCTAAACTACATATCTTAAATTCTCTTTATTGTTCTAATATTAAATTTATATTCCATTTTAAAGTATAACAAATATATTGACTTCACATGTTTTCTCTATATCGTCTCGTCTAATAGATATATAAGTTCTTAAAAATTGTCTAAGTCCTCAACATACTGGAACTATATTTCCAAATAAGAAATAAATTACTTTCTATGTAGTCACATATTTATTGTATTTATATCACAAAGTTACTAAATATAAAAGTGGTAAATAATGCTGATCTTTTGATATAAGATAGCCAAATTTTTTACTTTTAGTTAAAAATTAGTTTTGAAAGCATCAAAATAGTAAGAGAGATTGTGGTTTTATGAGTTTCTAACTAAAGAAAATTTTTTAAAAGTTCATCATATCCTTCTATCTTCAAACTTCCAGAATTTTTTTTTCTACTTGCTGTTTTCAAAAATTTCTCTGGTTTAGATACTAAATACAAAAGAGAATTCACTTCAAGAAGACAGAAACAAAGCTTGACCCTTTATAAACTATCTAAAATATCTACTTCTCAATATATTATATTTAAAGACTTCATTAACAATAGTTCATATCAAAAAAACTTCAAGTTGTTGTTAACTTCTGGTCTTGAGTTTTCAACTTGCTTTTGGTATTAGTTGGTTTAAATAATTATTAAAGAGTTATGAAATTTGTTATTTATTATAATTTTAGCCCAACTCTAATTTAAATAAAATTTTTTTTTAAAATAGGGGTATGAATTTTACAGACTATGAATCATAATAATTTTCTTTTTAAAAAAACTAATAAATTTAGGGTTCTGATATTTCCACACCTCTTTTTAATATTTCTACACCTATATAGATCTCTTTTTTTAAAAACTTTAATCAAAGATATCTTGATAACCACTAAACTAAATTCAATGAATTTTTTTTATTTGAATTCTAAGACTTGTAGAATTTAAATAAAAAAAAATTCATCGAATTTGGTCAGATAGTCGTCAAGATACCTTTGATCAAAATTAAAGAAAATTTTGTTGTAGCCATTATTTTAATAGATTAAATTTTTTTAAAAACTTTGATTGAAGGTATCTTGACAACCACCTGACCAAATTTGATGAGTTTTTTTTTATTTGAATTCTGCATGTCTGTAGAATTTAAATAAAAAAAAATTCATCGAATTTGATCAGATAGTCGTCGAGATACTTTTGATCAAAGTTAGAAAAAATTTTGCTACGATTATTATTTTAATAGACATTTAGATTTTTTTAAAAACTTTGATCAAATTTTTTTTTTATTTGAATTCTACAAGTCTGTATAATTCAAATAAAAAAAACTTCATTGAATTTGGTCAGATTGTCATCGAGATACCTTCAATTAAAGTTTTAAAAAAAAGAGATTTATATAGGTGTAGAAATATTAAAAAAAGGGTATGAAAATATCAAGACTTTAATTGGTGATTCGCCACTCAACAGAGAGAGCTCATAGTGTAATGTAATGCAGTTTACATATAGAAATTAGGGTTTTTGAAATGTGAACTGCTTCTATCTAAAACTTTTTTTTGTATTAAGTTAATTATCTTTGGGCCTCTAATTGAGACAAATCTAATAGTGGTTGAATTATTAAAATCAGCTTTGTGGATCATGAGATATCTTTGAAAAATGTTTTGCCAACTATATAAAATTCTCTTTCAACAATACTATTATTGAAAGAGAAGTTTACATAGTCAGCAAAATGTTTTTCAAAAATATCTTGTGATTTACAAGGCTGATTTTGATAATTCAACTACTATTAACCTAGTATAAAAAAAGTTTTAGATAGAAGCAGCTCACATTCCAAAAACCCTAATTTTTATATATAAACTGTATCATGTTATACTATGAGCTCTCTCTGGTTAAGTAGCAAATCACCAATTAAATTTATTATTAATAAAAGAATAAATATATATATCACACTATATGATGTATTTATATATTGTACCTCAATATAAATAATAAAATTAATTACAAATCTGTGAAATATCAAATTAATTTTTATATATTATTAAGGTTGATAGTTTTTTTTTTTATTATTATTAAAGTAAGGTTATGCTTCTGGTTTTTATTAATATATAGCTTCGATTATAATTACAATTATATATATATTAACTTTTACAAATTATAAAAACTTAAACTAATTTATCTATAGTCTAAACCTACTAGAGTAGTCTATACTCTATACATATATCATCTAGATTTGTACTTTCTAACTAACTGTTTCTAGTAACTATATATTTCTCTTATATTTCATTATTGCTAATCATAACTTCTAATTTGGCATATTGGATGTCTGCTTCTAGTAAGCTCCCAATTTGGTGTACTTGCAAATATAATTTACTACAAATCTTCTTCTGAATCTTATTAATGTAAGGGCCATGACATATATTACATAATATCATTTTATTAGAGGGTACCCCCATGTTATATATGATCATATATAAAATATTTATATGAAATATTATCTTCAGCTACTCTCCTTAGAATATTACGTAATATCTATTACTGTCCTAATTGTAATTAGTGCAGTTGGTCTTTCTATAGCCTTATATCTCAAGCCAGAAACTTGCTACCTAGTTAGGTTCGCTACATAACAGAGTTGGTATTATATTGCTAATTATATCAAT